CCAGCATTTGTTGCTTGCTGTTCTGTTAAATTTTGCTAGTCTTACTGAAGTGAGATGATATCTCCTGGTTGTCTTTATTTGCATCTCTCTCAGAGCTAGGGATTTTGAACATTTCTTCATGTGCTTGTTAGCCATCTGAGTGTCTTCCTTGCTGAAGTGTCTGTTCATATCCTGTGCCCATTTTTCAATTGGATTATTCACCTTTATCTTGTTGTGGTGCTCAAGTATTTTATGAATTTTAGATATAAGTCCCTTATCTGACATGTCATTACCAAACACTTTTTCCCAGTCTGTGGCTTCCCTTTGTAGCCTGTTAGAGAAGGAAACAGATTTTTTACATTGTGGCTGACGCGTCAGCAGAATTGCTGACCAATGCGAGATGCTCTGGAGCTTAGAGGTATTTTGCTGTAGACCTCATGCTATATTATTTCTCAATATTTAAGCCACATGTTCTGTCAGATTTCTGGAATGTCAAGCCATTATGATCAAAATGCCAGATAAATGGGCCAATTATAAAATAGTTTATTCTTCAGATTTTATGAAAAACTGTGAGTCAAGAAATATAAAAACCATTAATTAAGTTTGAGTGCAGGAAAGACATTCTTAATGGCTTAACTCTGCTTTGCCCCAAGGGAACTGAGAAATTCTACATCTTCACATTTCTTAAATAAAAACAGGTAACTCAGATGGTCATTTAAAACAATTTAAAAATGCTTCAATGCCAACTTGCACTAAAAAGAAATTTTTTTTTTCAAACTTCCAACAATGGGCTAAATTGAGCACGCCATTATATTTTCCTTTCAAAAAGATCTTCAGCCACAGAAAAGTCTGTGTGCTTCTGAAGAAAGCAGTATTACTTCAGCTTTCTTCTTCTATTTCAAAAGTTAACACAAATTCCTGGTCAGGATTTGCCATAATTCGCATATATTGCATTGGATTTCTTCTGAGTAGAAGTTCAAATAAGTTTTATAATGAGGATTCTAAAGATACAGTGTGCCAGCTCCGAGTGAATTATAAATTTTAACACCTTCCATAAATTAATCCAGACACAGTTCATTTTACCAATAATGCTATATTCTAAATAAACATAGAAAGTAGGACAGTGTAGCATTTACAACATGGCTTTCTTGTTGAGCTTCCTAAATTCAACTCCAATTTCACCCTTTCTGTGCTTGCTGCCTCAGACTCTGGACACATTTCCTGATCTATAAAATTGTGACAATAATAATACTAACATCTTTGAATTATTCAGAGGGTTGTTTGAAGCAAACCGATGTGGCATATCATAAGCACGGAATAAATACTAGCCGTTATTATTACTATTGTGTTAGCCACAATCAATACCCATGGTAATAGTAGTCAAGGAATCAAAGGCTGTGTTACATTTGGAAAATTTGCTGTCAAGGATTTCTCCAAAGTTTCAAAGAGCAAGAACATCCATTTAAAGGCTAAGCTGTGTGTGATCCAAACCACACTGTCAATTGTTTCCTGTGCATCTGAAAGTCGGACAATGAATAAGGATAACAGAAGACTTGTCTTTGAATCGTGGTACTGGAGAAGAACACTGACTATCACATGGACTGTTAAAAGAACAAACAAATCTGTTTTGAAGGAAGTGTAGCTGTGGTGCTCATTAGATGCAAAGATGGTTGGACTTGGTCTCGCAAACTGTAACCGTATTGTCAGGAGGGGTCAGAACTTGGAAGAAGACATTAGGCTGGGAAGGATAGAGGGTGAAAGAGAGAGAGGAAGACCCTCAACAAGATGGGTGTGAGCATATCCTAGATGATGAAAATGGTGTTGGTTCAGGCATATTTCAGATCTGTTGTTTATAACATCACTAAGTGAAAGTCTCTGGGTGGTGCAAATGATTTGTGTCCACCTATTAACCTGAGAGAGCTCTCACACTGACAATCCAACGTTTGAGTTGGACAATCAGCGTTGTTTGAGTCTACCTGTTGCTACTGGGAGATGTTGGGCGATTTATAGCCTCTGAAAACCCACTGCAGGGCCAGGTATGAATCAGTTTCATCTTAGTAGCACATAACAACAGCAACAACATTAACCTAAAGGTTGGGTGGTTCCAACCCACCCAGCAGCACGAGAGAAGGAAGGCCGGTGACCTGCGTTGGTAAGACTGCAGCTAAGAAGCCACAGCGGAGCGTCTCGCTCTGTCACACGTGGGGCTGCCACGAGTCAGAGCCGACCTGAAGCCTGCACATAGTGTCAGCACATTTAAAACAAGACAACAAGTCACAGTTTTATTCTCTCTGATATTCAGCAAATAGAGTTTAGTGATAGATAAGATGGATTTCAAAAGAAGGGAAGGGCATACTTTTGTGTAGTTTCTTTATAACAGAACACTATTTCATAGGTCGCCCTTTGAAAATCCAGAATATAGATATTTACTGAGCATATTAATTCAGAATGAAAATGATGCCATATTAATTGACACGTTCTAACACTGATAAATGTAGTGATACATTTTTGTATATAGGGTCATTATGAGTTGCAGGTGACTTGACGGCCCATAACAACAACAAACAACAACAATCAGATTTCAACTTTGCTGATTACAAAAGTTACTTAAAGTTAGTCAGCCTCCTTTTTTTCTTCCCTGTCTACTACCACCTGTCCTCAGATCCCTCACAGGCAAATACAACTTTAATTATATAAGAAATCAATATTATTATCACAAGTAATGAATGCAAATAGGTGATTCATAAAGAAACAAAAGGTATAACATAGTCAGGTCATGAGTACTGGGTAAGTGTGTGTATAGTGGTTTATCTCCTAAAACCCAAGTTAGGTGTGTGCGTGTGTGAGCTTCACTACACAGGAATGAATAGGATCAAAAGTCAATGGAATATATGTAATAAAATGACATTGTAAAATAAAATAGAGAGGAAAAAATTATTGGCATTTAAATGCAAGACAAAATGCCTACTGGTTGGTGGAGGTTGTTGTTGCTAGGGTTCATCACATTAGCCACATTTATAGAGACCCTATGAAGCACATCTTATAGAGACTCTATGAACAGCCGATGGGACCCTGTCCTGTCCTGCGACATCTTCATGAGACCCTATGCACAGCCGATGGGACCCTGTCCTCTCCTGTGCCATGTCCCTTCTCTCCCCATGCTGGAGCCCCTTGTTAGCACCTTTAAAGTGTAAGAGTGAAATGTGCCAGAGGAACTTACAGACTTTCCTTTTTGAAACTGAAGTTGATTTCCAGCCAGGGTAAAATAGCGAGTTTTCCACCTTTTGATGAACTTCCATCTGACTTGCTTCTCTTTGAGTTTTCCTTCTATGAGAGGCTGGCCATCTTGATTTACAACTGTCGAAGGTAACAGAACAATCAAAGCTGTTTATTTTTCAGTGTTTATTTGGCAAGTGATCAAAAGTCTGAATTTCACAATGAACCTGAACTGAGTAAGCATATTTTGAAAGGGGGCTAAGAAATTATGTGTTTGGTTATCTTTTTATCTTTTCCTGAAAAACAATGTACAATTCAGATATGATAATGTGTAAGTGTTGAAAGCTTTCATCAAGAATTTTCAAAAGGAACCGAGTTCACAAAATGAGCATCTGGTTAGCAGTTAGTAAAGTTCATCCAGACACCCAGCTTTCTTTGCTTGTTAGTGCTTTCATTTCATGGCATTTTGTTACTTACGTTGGAGTGACCAAATCAATTAAGAATGTAGTTTAACATATTTGGCATAAAATACCTAGCATGCCAAAGGTTTCATTTACTACTATAGAATGTGAATTCCCATGCTTTACAGCACAGGGACGGCTTAGACAGACAGCTTAGAAAGAATCACAGCCTAAGTATATTGAGCTATTTGGCAGCAAAAGTTGAAGCAGCACTTTAAACAATAGATTTCTGTAAAGCTGTAACACTAAACTGCAAAGGCAAAATGACTTTGTGCTAAATTTGCTTGTGCTGTTTTCACCATCTGTAACACAGTTACCCTTTCCACATTCCACATTCCATTCTTCACCTCACTTACTGCCATGAAGCTGGAACGAACCTGCAGCTTACCTCTTGTGGGTTTTCTGATGTTAATCGCATTAGAAGAGATCGTGCATCTTTTGCCCTTGAAGTAGCTGGTGGATTAGAACCCCCCGGGTGGCATAGCCTTTGGGTTAGCAGCACAATTCCTTATGAACTGTGCCACCAGAGCGCCCTCACCATCACCTCGTCAATGACTAATTCATCCTTCCTCTATCAGTGCATGTTGTTGTTGCTGTTATGTGCTGTAGAATCACCCATGATTCATAGACCTAAACCCTGCTCTGTCCTGTGCCAATCTCACTGTCTCTGACACCCCCACCCCCACTACTCCAGTCACTGAATCAATCCACCTCATAGAGGGTCTCCCTCTCCTGCGCTGTCCCTCCACCCTCCCAAGCAAGACGTCCCTCTCCAAGGACTGGTCCCTCCTTGCAAAATGTCCAAAGTATGTCAGAGGAAGCTTCAGAATCCTTGCCTACAAGGAGCAGCCTCGTTTTACCTTCTCCAGGACAAACCTATCTGTCCTCTTAGCAGTCCATGGTATATTCAATACTCTTCTCCAACACCCTACCTTGTCCTTATCTTTCATATCCCAGGAGCTCTGGTGATACAGTCCAGGCTGCACCTCCCTAGTGACTCAAATCCAACAGTCACTCCAGGAGAAAGATGGGCAGTTTCCTTTCAGGCCATTTGCAGCTTTGGAACCTGGCTGGAGGGTCAGCTAGGTGTTATTTCTGACTTGACAGCAATGAGGTTTTCTCCCCTCCCAGCTCCAGATCAGTGTGGCTCCCCCTACCATATGCTGCTATTGGCCTGTGTGTGTTTGTTTTAGAGCAAGCCTCACCTCCCCTAGTGACTAGTGCTTATTTGATTAACATTTGGTGCAGAAGAAAGACAAGCAACCTCCTCTTGTGTGGTTTACAGTCTCTGAAACACCTCGGGAAGGTTGGCTACGAGTTGTTTCTGCCTCCGTGACAATGACTTTGACTTTTTGATTTCCCATTTTACTGGAAGCTCCATGAGGACAAAGTCTTTGTTTTGCTCACTGTTATCACGCTACATACACAAGCACAGAGCTTGACATATATAGTAATCGATAATATTATGGAATATCATTGTAAGGTCTCTGGGATTGATGCAAATGATGTGTACCCAATTAAATCTAAGGAGAGCTCTGGTGGCCCCGCAGTAAGGAGTTACACTGACAACGCAAAGGTACATGGTTTGAGTCTACTTGCTGCTCTCAGGAGACAGATGGGCCATCTCTTTGTGTGTGATTAAACTGCCTCTGAAAACCTGCTGGAAGTTCCGACTCCATGGTATACCGCCACATGAGTATCTGTTGAATGAATGGATTACGTTTACACTGAAGTAGAATACATAATATTTACAATACAAGATATTTAACAATGTTAGAAGATTAGACTAAGGAATTTCTTCCTTTTTTTCCATCCACGTAAGATTTGCTCTACTTTGAGATTGTCATGAAAGCATTTCATTTCTAGAGGAAGCAATGGAAAGTGCAACTGACAAATGACAAAATTTACTTCAGTACATTTATGTTCAATGTGCTGAGCACCACAAAGTAAACAAAAGTCACCCATCACTCTAGACTCTGGATGGTACTTGCTGACCATGTGAATATGGTCTGCAATTTGTCTGGTCCTATCTGTGCCCAATCTTGCTGTTTCTGTCCATTTAACAGAGAATTTTCGGAGTAACAATTAAGTTTTTATAAATAATAAAGTTTTCATGCTTTTCATAAATAGACTTCTGTCCACACTGATTTGACTTGCTTGTTTATTTAGTTTTAAGTTATTTGATGACTATCTACAAGATGTGCTCTGAGGTCAGAGAATGTTCACCTGGGGTGGATATAAATGTCAATGGAAAACATACAATGAAACAATTAAGCAGATCACAGGATGAAAGAGGATGGTTGTTGTTGTTGTTTAATGCCGTCGAGTCGTAGATGACTCATAGCGACCCTATGAACGAACAGCCTGAGCACTGTTCGTACATAGAGTTTCCAGAGGCAAGCCATGTTGGAAGTGGATGCTGCTCCTGCTTCCAGGCTTGCTTTAGTCGGGAAGCTCCAGCCAACACTGTCCACCATGG